TTCAAATTAATATATTCTATATTCAATATTAATGAACAATTATTTAAAAGCTAAAAGAGTATCTAATCGTGCAATAATCTACACTAATATTGCAAAGAGAACAGATTGTTTTTGCATGCTTGCTTTCATGGAAACCGCGATTATTAAAATATTTTTACCGATAGAAAGTTTCATTATCATTCAGTGACAAAGGCTGTATTCTGTACCGGTAACATGGCAGATTACGACTACCTATAGTCTGAAAAATGTTATAATGGAAAAGATTAGCTTTTTTGTATGTAATGGATAAACTCAAGGAAATGATTTAACCATTTTAGTATGTTTATTAAGAAGTTAGTTTACTATTTATATATTAGGTATATACCTATGGTGTGCAAAAGGTGTACCTACTTTTCTATACAATATAACATTTATTTTTAAATCAAAAGTATCCGATATTTGTCCTCATTGAGGTGATATGTTTATTAAGTTTATTACAGAACAAATCAACTGACAATAACGTTGATTATATTAACAGAACATGAAAGAACTTAGGACTTTAAAATGAGAATTTTTTAAGAGAGACGGCGAATCTATAGTATAATTAATAATTAATGAAAGCATACGGCAATCGTGAAGGCAAGTATATTATACAGTCCGAATGATTGTTAACTATCAACGTCGACCTGAAAAACGCAATTTCATGTTCTCAGACGCTGAGAATTAATCCGACTTAGACGTGACAGAGGCGACTCTACGTCCACTGCTCTATTTCAGTTTGATTTGTAATTGGTGTTTCGATCGGAGTTCCACACAAATTTATATAGGTATAAAATAATAAAATATTATTATACCTACTTTTTATAGCCTAATGTCGTATTTATTAATGATCGACTTTAAAACTTGCACCTATGTTTTTTCTTTGTAACATATTAAATAATTTGCTTAAATACTGCCTAGTTTGCTTGCTTAAATAAATCGTAAGCAAGATTTAAGTTCAGAATATTCTTGCTCACGTAAATCGTAATTTAAGCTAGTAATCTACAACGTTATTATTTAAAATAAAGTTCGTAGTAGAAAACAATAATGCACAAGTGTCATTCCAGGCCATGTTACATGTAAGATCCAGCATGGAACTTTTAAAATTGTTTTTCGTACGTATAGGTAGGTACTGTTAGAATGATTCAGTTCGCTTCACAAACAAACTGGTCCAACACAAAAATCGACAGCCCTGTCGAGTTTTTCTTTTTGAATATGCATAGGCAAACAGGGCGTCCCCGGCAGCGCAATAAACATTAATCACTCATAAAAAAGACAAAGTGACTTCTAAAGCACGTCATATCTAACATCGGCCTTATGGGTTTCATTAAAACGGACGAAGGCACCCGAATGGAACCGAAGCCTCTAATGACCGGCCGCTCGTGTGTCACGGAACACGCTAATATTTATGTAAATTGCAGAGAATATGATTAGTCCGCGTCGCCTCCCCCGCTGATAATCATATTTACGGCTTCCACTCACCCCCACCGCCCCCTCTTAGGGGGGGTGTCCCCACTTTCGTGCCTAAGGTTCTTCAGTCGATCTTTTATCATGTATTTGATATTTTTTAATAGATTTTAGCGTATTTGTTGTACTCGTATACGAATAATTAATAGTGACATGTATTTAAAACAAGTTAATTCGCTAAATCATTAAATACTAAATTAAAAAATGATATTGCTCTTTGTAGGTTGTTGCAGTTTATTAACATTTATTTTCGCATAGGTAGATAAATATTTAATCCTTTACTGATGGCTCACGTAACCATAGATATATAATATATATTAATTAAAGGTACCTATACCAAGTTGAAAGTAGATAGAATACCTACCTACTCATGAAACTGAACTACTTTCGCCAAGAAAGAATGTAGAAATCTGAAAGTAAATTTAGTATGTATGTGTAAACGAAATCATTTTTTCTTATCGTGGTAGTGTTTCTTCTCAAAGTAGGTTTTAGGTTATTATACCTACTAAAAACACAGAAATACTTTTCTTCCTAGACAGATGATATAAAAAAAACATATGTAAATGACAAGTAAGTAGGTATAAGACCATAGTCAGAAAAAAATTAACGGTAGTAAGTAGAAATAATGTTATTTTCGAAACTATACCTACATATTAAATTCGTATTGATAATACTCTTTTAAAGTCGCTAAAGTATTATTTAAGTATGTTGAGTATGTAGGTGGTACATACAATATAGTTAACTGCAACTTGTCTGCACTACGTTGTAAGGTCGCATGTCTCCGGCATTCAGGAGAGGTGGTGGGCTGCCTGCCTCCCCTCCTCACCATTTACTGTCCAAGATTATACTATGACTACGTAATATCTTTTACATTCTAATTACTTCGTATCTAGATTAGATTAGGGCACAGAAAGTAAAATAATATTATATTATAACATTAAGAATTGACATTAATAGGTATATTAATATGTTCAAATTCAAATTAATAAATTATTTATTAATGTAGGACATTTTAGCTGCTTATGAACGTCAAATTTCCCTACCGTCCAGTTCAGTATATATAGATTTGATTGAGAAGAATTGGCAAGAAACTCAATTAAATTAACTGGATCATAAAATTATACGTATACCTGATTATATACCTCATTTTATTGTAGTAATTATTAAAATAGGAGTAAATAAACGTATGTAAAGTATAGTAATTTTTTTATACTTCATTTTCTCTACTAATTAGGTAACTCTGACTGGGTTGCCTATTTCTAAGAGAACTATTTGCCCTAATAATATACGAACAAAGACACAGTTGTTGATGTTACACGATGAAATAATATGTATGTCCTTTTAAATAATTTGGCTACGAAACCTTAAATATAATAACACCTATGTATTTATTTCAGTTTATTATGTACCTAATATATATGTCACTTCTTATGTTGTCTAACCATTCTGTGCGAAGGTAATGTTATATAAAAAGTAAATAAAAATACTCTCATCATTTTTTTGGTTTTAAAAAACTGTTGTTGAACTATCGAAAGCAGTGAGTGGAGAGTGTGGAAATTTTACCTATCCACTTAAAAGTTACATTGTGGATCCCAAGGCGCTATTCCATGACATTAGGCTATGTTAACTTCTCTAGAGACTACAGTATGGGGTTATTAAGAAGGGTATATTAAAGGTCGTCTTAAAGGGTTTCTTAACGTGACACCGCTGGTGTTTCCGGTTTCATAGACTATGGTAAACGTTTACCCTCAGATGGTCCGTATGCTTGATTGCCTGTATAGTTGTATAAAAAAATGTTAGCTGTCTATCACTACCGGAGTGGTAGTGATAGCCCGGTGTAGTAGAAACACCTCGGTACCTACTTTATAGCATTTCAGAATTACTTGATGTTATCATGATTCAAAACGGCAAAAAGATTACATTTAAATTTAAACAATTTTTTTTTGTTATGACTGCAATAATAATTTTCCTGGAGAATATACCTACGCTATCTAGTTTCAACCTAAACAGAATTTATATTATAGACTCATAACTGACATAAATACTTGATTTTTTTGTAAAGAAATATAGATAACATCCAATCCGATATAAACAATCATACTCAGGAATAGTAATATTGGTACCGTGAGTACCGAGCCCATCAGTGATGAGGATGCAATAACAGCAGTAGGTATTATAGTCACCGGCAACAGACATGAAGTGACATGACACTAGCATGCTTAGTAATAGCTGTTCATGTACAGGATTTTCATTTAATGTTAGACATAGTCACCTATATTGCTATCTACATTGTAAATAAATTGGCTTTTAAAAAAATAATTCAAGTAATGTAATTCAATTGAGTAGTATAGTAGTTTCTTGCCAGGCCTTCTCAATTGGATCTATATACTGTACTGGACGGTAGAGAAAAAAGTAAAATTGTAATGTAAAAAAAAATATGTTCATAAGCGGCTAAAATGTCCTACATAAACATAAATGAGTTTGAATTTGAATTTGATGTACTTCAATGCTCTCATTATGCCTATTTAGATGGGGCGTGATATGGGTATAGGAATGGTGCACCCGCCTACTCCAACGGCATGTGCTGGCGGATAACTAGAACAAGACGATAGAATGAGAATAATGTCAGATCAATTAGTGACCACTGGTTAAGTAACAATGATGAATTCCTGATTTCCACGAGGTCCATGGAGGTTAACTTGGAGTTACATAGCAATAGGCCAAACGCTAGAAGCCCCATAGTCGCCATTTTTAAAATCATCATCTCTTCAACCGAACGACCGTGGTTTCTTATGGACGAATGGCATACCTGCCTGATACCTAACGGTACTATAGCATTATAGAGTATTAGGAGAAAGATGAAAGCGGGCAATTTAGCTTGTCACAGCCAATTCATCAAGATATTATGCGTCCTTTTGACTATCCTTTCCACTCATATACCATGTTGTTTTACTGATAGAGACTTATTGAAGTATTTATATGTATTCTAATTTTTCTTTGTAACGCTGGCTCGTAGGTGCCTGATAATATTTCAGAACTTTACTATGCTAATAACTTTGTACGTTACCTATTAGAAAGTAACTAGGTAGTGTATAGAGATATTTATTTAATTACCTAAAAAATTACAAAGCTTGCATGTATCTATTGACCTATAGATGGATGGATGGATCGCCCACATAATTAAAGAAAATAAATGTTCAGCTACATTTCTTCAATACTTCATGATTTCCGAATTGGCGGAAAACGTGCGGTAGCTCAAACTCGTTAACTAATAAGTTAGGTGCCCATTGCCTACTACCCTATGGTGGGAGGGTGGTCAGGTCGCCGGCTACAAGCTAAGGCACCCTGTCAAGTCAATCGTCCAACTGACAGTTGCTGAACGACCGCGGCTCGAGACAGCGCGGTCACTATCGCGTTTCCCGCGTGAAAATCGCTTTCCCCGCGGTTGCGGAGCGGCGGAGCACGTGAACGCAGTGTCCCGCCGGCCGCTCGCGTGACACGCCGCGCTCCTCGCGACCACACGGCCACCCATCCATCCTGCAGGAGCCACGTACGGTCCCGACGCCCGCCCGTGCCACACTGCGCCCGCCCTCCACGACTGTACACTCGCGCGCGCAGATAAAAAACTTCCTATTTTGAAAATAACTCTTCGGATTAAGGGTCCACTTGGTGATCGATCGCGGTAAATAATTGAGGAGACTGTCTTGTTTGCTGGCGTCGTGGAGGCGATGCGTTCGAAGGCGGTGGCGAGGCGGCTCCAGGCGCAAGGTGAGTGTTCCATTTATAAAACTGACATCCCGAACACTTTATAACTATGGAAAACTTTTATGAAGAGTTTCACTTTGCTTATATTTTCTTCATAACTACAGTTTTCCTAGAAAGTTAAGTTCATTAAAACACTTAGAAGTAAATAAGGACTATTATAATATACATAAATCATTTAAAAAACCATTTCTGTACTAAAGGTACAATGAGTAGAAAAATGCTGAAAAGAATTTTCACATATTTGTCATCGAGGATGCGCAGTAGGTACCACAAATGATAAGGACAGTGCGATACATCCGGCTCTACGATTGGTCGGCGCCTCCCCCGCCAGACAAGATAGCGAGGGCCATCCTCCATTCTCTTTTACAGAATCACACACCGTGCGACTGACAATATAGAGTTCAATTTAGCTCGTTATAATATTGGGAGGGATGGTCCCTCTGTTGTCATTTGTCATTGGATGAGTATTGAGGCTTCTCATTATTTACTTTCCTTATATACAAAGGCGTAATAATATTTTCTATTTAGAAAAATTGAAATACTTATAGTAAGTAGATATATATAGTTAATATTTTGTGTCATTGCCAACAAAATTACTGTTTTATTCTACGAGTATACTTATTTGAATGTATCTTTATTATCATCATCTTTTCAAGTATTAATTATTCACTAGACGCATAATAGATGTTTGTCATAAACTGTCACAGAGTAACTAATTTGGCTTTATAATTATTTAAAACTGGGGTATACTTTATAAAAAGGCGTCTGTGAGTACCTCAGTCTCTTATTTCAGCCACCAAGCAGATTGCTTTGGAAACTGTTTTCGGTCGAAGGATGAGATAAGGTACTGAAATTACATAATAAGAGGCATCTTAGTGCTCCGGAATGGCAATGTATTACCACTAATACGGGTGTTATACCAACCATGACATGATGTCCGTAGTGACGTTCTTGTACAAGTATTTAGTACTATATAGGAGAAGGTACCATTTGGTAGATATCAAGTTGAATTTCAGCTTGTTTTTCATTCCAATAATATAAAAAAAAAATACCTTGTCAAATAGTACCTAGCGATAGTTAATAGTCTAGCTGTCTACATATATTCACACTTAGGTAAGTATAGATTATGAGTATTACGGCTGGAACAATATTATCGCAACATATAGGTATGCACAAGAGCTGTTATCAGCGAGACAAGCCTCATATCCCAAGCATTGGTTGCACAACGCACCTAGAGAGGCAATCATCTGTTTTATGATTCGATTTATTGCCGCTACGGCGTAGACACTTATATGTAGTTTGCGCGATATGTTTTATGATTGTTGCGTTTTTTTAAGTGAAAACTCTTTCTTGCCTGCATATTTAGCAGGCTAGTAATAACATCTATAGATGTTATTAATCGTTAGGTCATAACTGATTAGTATAAATTATAAAGATAGGTGAATAGGTAAAACTTTCATGTGTGTTAAAGGGCACACTTACAAAAGGTACAGGTAAAAAAATAATACTATGCAGGTATATGTACAATTTAAACAATAGCTGAATCTTTAAGGAGTTAAAGCATACCAAATAAATAGATAGATAGATAGTCCTATTTTCATTTGTAGAATATTAATTAGAACAGATATGCATCTAAATTTCTATAATATAACGATGATGAACTCTATTAAATACTTACATATTATTTTTAATTAAAACTATAAATGTCCAATGTATATACTTTACTACAATATTTTGCAACTGCATGTTATCGATCTTGAATAAATCTTATTATTATAGTCTTTTTCACGAAAAATTGAAGGGAAAAGAGAAGAAATAATTGATATCACTTTACATTAGCGCAGTTAAGATATTAGCAGTATATCTAAATAGATATACTTAAAAGTAAAATGTTCTAACTAAATAGTTAGAGCATTTTACTTTTCAAACCACCGTGGTTAATTTCTGGTTAATAAGCTTATACTTACGTAGTAGATAGAGTTTAGGCTACTATTATAATAAGGTAAAATTCCGTATCACTAATGAGCAAACTAAATAAATAAGTAGTTACCTACGTAACTGATGATAAATGATATCTCAAACTACTTTATTTTATTTTTTTAAATTAGTAATCCATTCTATTAATATCAGATATACCTAGATATTAATCTAATTCGATATGGGTTACAATTTAAAATCAGTGTCGGATTAAGCCAACGCCGGGCCTATAACAAGTTCTGTCAAGAGATTCAAGAGTCACTGTTTGGTTTCATATTGTATAAAAATTAAAAAATTGTGTAAGACATTGGGTTTTTAGTAAAGCAAAGAAATTTTGTAATAACAAAGTAAGCCAAGTAGACAGTAAATATTTACGGCAAAATTTCTATTGAAAGTATAAATATCGCGCTTGGGTGAGCGGAGATGTAAAGTCTCTGAATAGAGGTAGAAGAAATACTGCAGAATACCAACATAGTAATTTTATTGGACACACTTAAAGCAAAATTTCCACCTATCTAGATATGGTAGGTATGTATAAATTGCATATTAAAATGTGTTCAGTGATCAAGCATAAAGATTATTGATATAGCGTCCATATCTCGTACTTTTATCGTATGTCATTAAAGTGGAACATGAATAGTTCAAAAGCGTTTTAAAACCTACCCACTTCGCTGTTGTTTTCCATTGAAGTTGTGACGGATAGCAGAAAATATTGAATTGCTGTTATTGGAGATTTGATTGCGATTTGATTTGGTTTTCTGTGTGTCGTAGTGTTATAGAAAACTTAGATGTAAATAGAAATTACCTAAAAGACGATTTTATTGGTATGATTCTTCATTTAAAAAGTGACATCGACTAAAATATGGTTCAGTCAGTTTCAGATTCAGATAAAAGGTAAACGTGCAATATATCCACGAGGATACTAATAGGTTATCTTTTATCATTACGTCAAATTTCTGAACGGGTTCAGCTATTTATATTGTTGTCTGTATAAGAATAATTGAAAAGAACATCAAGTGACTATGCTAACTCACTACTTTTATAGGTACTACGTATGAAAATATTCACCTACTTATAATTAGGAATTAGTGTACACAGTGAGGTACTTACAGAAAATACTGATCCTACTGACTCATGTTTGCTCTACGCAGATATTGGAAGTTGAAACTTGGCACAGATTTATTGCAATTGACGCAATATGCTATTAGTATAGAATAGAATTGAAATATTCTTTTATTTAATTAAACTCAATCCTAGTCTTTGAATAATATTTTTTTATGGTATTCCGAGAGCAGATTTAGCAAAGGTATGAAACTACTATGCACTGTTTATTATTAAACTAATTAATTATAAAAGTAAAAATAAGGAAGAAGGGAATTATATTATTAATCTTTTATCATATAAAGGACTAATATCTATGAAATTGATGTATGATTATAGCAAGGAATCCTTATATTAAAATACCTATTGTTTTATATAGTTGTATAATCAAAAGTTAAATTTATGTAACAAAATTCATATAAAAATATAAAGTCAGTATAAAATTATCATTAAGTACTTATATAGCGTATGTAGGAAGAGAATAATAAACAACCCTAGAAGAGAAGGATCTCATATCACAAATATTTAATTATTACTAAGAATGATAAGTAAGGGTCCCAGCCCAGGTTTAAAAGAATAACGTAAAAAGTGTAACGAATTATATTATCTAAAATTTACACAAGTTTTATAGATCATTGAAATTGATCTATGAAAATTGTGTAAATTGAATTCGTAATCTTTTATGACAATAAAGTTTTAAGTATGTAAATAAGAAAGTAGATAATGCTAAGTTATAGGATGAAAGAATATAACTAGATAATTTTAGCCATCCATCATCAACTTTTAAGAATTATATTTTTAACTGAACTATTTTAGGTAGAGTCGTCAGCCATTAGTGTAAATTAGATTTATACTAACATATATATATAATGACATACTGAATTTTTATATCTATATCATGGCATCATGGTATCTTTATGCAGATAGTCTAGTATAATCCAAAAGATATATCCTAAACTTAGAAGAAATTGTATTATGGGTAAACAACTGATAATAACAATATCTCTTATTTGTAAATAAGTAGATACTATATAATATATGTAGGAAATACTACAATTAGTACAGACAATCCTATGTACCTATTAATATAAGTGATTGTATAATAAGTAGAAAATATCTTGTTAAGATCTGCAGGTTTGGGAAGCATACAGAGGTCGCCGGGGTGTCCATAAGCCTCGTTCAATATCTGGCCACGTTTTTACGATCCTCGTAAAACTCCCTCAGCGGAGCGATCATCGTCTGAGCCGATTGGATCCTTTTGTGTAGCTCGATTGCCGTGGGACGGACTTTCTGCATTGTACTATTTCTAATGCCCGATTCGAACTGATATTGGACGCAATTAACTTTCTTTTAGATTTTAGATACTTTGTAGGACGTAGGTTCTATACGAGCTATACCTCGTGCATGGATACTTCGATCTCATCAAATTCTTGCGGTAAGCAGTTAGATTGCATACCGTGTATTGGTGTGAAGTACCTACTTATAAGCTGGTGAAATCGCCATTATACCTCAATACCCTATCAGTGTATAATGGCGATGAAAGTTTTACAGTCTACTGGACTACCATCACCATAAAAGATGATAATTAGCGATGCGAAGTAATGCCTGCTTCAACGACATTTTATATAGATAGGTATGCAATTTAGGTTGTTGTGTCAATTATCAACTCATAACCGGAATTTTATTCCATAAAAAAAAGAAGCATTACTTTCAAAATAGAGGATGAGCTATTACCTAAAAGAATATTGAAATGTAATAAGTATAATTGATTTAAATTCTATTTTTCATTACCTCGCTAAGGACCTTCAAGGTATAGGAATAACACTACTGTATTTAAACATATTACAGGTGTTATTTAAGATTGTTGATTATTTTATATTGAACAATTGTCAAATCGGGTAAAAAATACTCAACGTGTCGCAATC